TGTTTAGAGGCTGTTGATAGTTGTGTTAGCGTGAAATCACAGTCATTGTGACCAAGGGTTTGAGCGTACCAGCCTTGTTCAAATTGTTAATAATACCATAGATGATATGATTTCTTCTAGAAACTATAATTAAAGTCCACTCAGCATAGTATTTATCAATCCACCCACGAGGATAGAATGTGGCACAAGGCCGGTTTAATGTGGGTATCCTCGAGCCTGTATGCTCAGAAAAAAAATATAGCCTTTTGAACCCGCCTAGAGGATTCAGGCCCTGTCTACCTCCCGAACGAAACCTTGCCCTTGGCAAAGCTTCGTCGGGTTCCTCTCTGCTAATGCTAGGACAGATGCCGACTCGGAAGCTCACAAAGGCAGCGTACTACACTTTGATCATTGCCCCCGGGCCATGCAGCTTGTCCACTCAGCATAGTTACAGTATAAACCACAGGTAGGCTCTGTGGGAGTTTAACAAATATAAATGTGCCTGAACAGACGTCTGCAACAGGGATTGACTATTAGACAGGTGTGCTCAGAAACAAGTAGCCATTATTATAATTATTGTTATTATTTATAAATGAGAGCCAAATTTTACTCACCACTCTAACAACAAATAAGAAACAAATTAAGACACTGGAAGAATATTTGAAAAAACATTCTTCTCTGATATTGAAATAATGCAGTGTATTTAGACTAGTATCCTCATCTTTATTGTTTCTATCACTGATGAGGGCTATACTTTTCCTTGCACTGTCTTGAATTCTGTGGTAAAATACTATCATTAATCAATTAAGGCAAATATCCTTGTCTGGTGTTTCAATCACATTTTGTCTGATGTGTAAAGAAAACAAACAAAATGTTAGGATAATAATAATAATAATAATAATAATAGCTACTTGCTTCTGAGCACACCCATCTAATACCCAATCCATGTTGCAGACGCCTGCTCAGGCACATTTGCACTTGTTCAATTCTCTCAGAGCCCACCTGTGGTTTATACTGTAACTATGCTGAACAGACAGAGAAGGTTTTGAATTTAACATTTACTCATTTTTGCTTATTAGACATCAAATTATATCGCTTAGCATCCACCATAATTTACCTTGACTTTCAGTTAGTCTGAAGTATTCTTAAATTTAAAAACTCCAAAAAATTAACAACATCTTTACTTCTATGTTACAAAATAAAATCCTTACATTCATTTGACTTGATAAAGTCCATCAGATGACGAAAGGCATCAGCTAAGATAAGTTATGTATATATGGTAAAATGTAATTATCAACAAAATATTTTTAATCAAATTCTGTAAATATCTGAAAACAATTAAATAGGTGCAAGAAAAATTGAAGTTTCTCCAATTTAAAATAGTCCAAGTAATGAAATTATTCAATTAATGAATTAACACATTCATAATTACAATTCAAGGGTACAAATCGAAGGCGTAAGCATCAAGTAAAGCAGAATTTAGCAGCACATACAAGGTTTGCACTCATGGTAACAAATACAGAAGAGAACTTTAAAGGAAATAAGAAAACAAATTAAGACAAATCAATTCTATATTTGCCAATTTTGTCTCCATTCATTCATGACCTACTTCTTGTTCCACCCTCTAAAAAATATAAGTCCATAAAACAAGAGATGTTTCCCCCCCCCACTTCATGTTTAATTAGCAATGCAAAGTTACTAATCAATATATTGAACTTCTTATCTCAGCTTTATTCCTAATATCTGTGTGTCACTTTATCAATTTCCATTGTTCTTTATTTTGTTGACGTTCGTGTCAAGTCATCTCTTATTTATAGAATTTATATTATAATTATTTGCCAATAAATAAAAATTAAAACTACACTTAAAATTAAAAATTAGCTTTACTTGCACTCCTACTGATTCCTAATCAGCAGGAGTGTTAAGTGATAAAGATACTTCATCTCAGAATCTCAAAACAACTTAAGAGTATTACTATTACTAGTCAGGTAGTAGATGAAAACATTGTCTGATTACAGTCACTTTAGTAGCCTAATTATGATACAGGCAATAAAAGGTTAGCAATCGATTTATGATGTAAAAATTAAGTTTTTGACTGAAGCTAATTCTATACTCAAATTTCTAACATTCGTTTTCAAGACCAAAGAACTGATCATCAAAAAATGTCATCATAAAAATGCTTAAAAAAAAATAGTAAAAAGAAAACTGCAGATCATATATATATTTTTTAAATTTAAAATTTCAGCATTTTCAAAATTAAGCATTTTCTTACTAGGCAGAATTATTTTTTTTTACTAATGTTATTCCTATATGAGGCCCAAGGGCCACTCAAGGTAGAGGGTTACTGGAGGCAGTTGTTGGGAGAGTGGGGTACAATTTATGAGGATATTTGGGAAAGATAATGGCTAACATTGTAGTGTTCAGGGAAGCATCCTTCTGGGATTCTGTACCACAAAGCAACAATGCTTGGGAAGAAGCTATTTGAGTGGAACTTACTCCTTACAAAAGGAATATGGAGGGAATGATGATGGTTTGCCTCAATGTGCACAATGTAGCAGGTTTTAGCTGGGAGGGTTAAAGTTGGGGGAACTAAGGAATGTGGCTCATCTGAACAGTTTCCATGAGAATAGCAAGAGAATAGGGAGAGGCTTGCACCATTTCATCTATGGGAAAGGTTGTAAAATGGAAAATAATACATCACCTACAAGGCTGCATAGATGCTTTTGCACTATCAAGACAGGCAAGCAAGGAATGGGCAACTACAGATCAGATACTCCATTTTTGGTCTAATTATAGCTCTTGTAAAGATAGAGTATAGCAGGGGACTCAGATACTTACTAGAGCAGTACAATGAACTGATCATTTTACCAGTATCTTTAATAATAAATGGTATATATACAGTTCAAATTCAGTTCTGGTGAGAGCTTGAGTTCCAATAAATGTTCAAGGCAAGGAGTCTCCTTGAGAGAACACCTACATACATCATGATAGGTGAAAGTTCAAGGTTTGGTGGTGAAACATTACTAGTTTGGTTTTGACAGTATTGAATCTTACAAGATAGTTCTTCTTCCATTGAGCCACCTGGGGTAGGTCAGAGGAGAGTTGAGCTGAAACTGTTGTATCATCCACACAGATATCCACTAATGATTGGAGTATATTCTTAGGCAGATCATTATTATAGAGTAGAAAGAGGGTAGGATCAAGTAGAAAACCCTGGCTATTGTCCTGTGGGACACACATGCACAATTCAATAAAAATAATAGGAATTCTTCAAATATATGCACCTATTTTTTTCTCTTTAAATTAGCATTCTTTGATGAATATTTTATATATATATTTTGTATTATATATATCAAATATGATTTTAAAAAACCTTTGCAGGGGAAAAACATCTAGCGGATTAAAGCATTGGTACATGAATTTAGTGACATAGTAATTGTGAGTTCAATCCCTGGGCCAGGCAGTGTGTACCTGGACTCAGTGGAAACAGAGTGAGCAATAACTGAGCAGTACTGAATATACAAACTTGATAAGATATCACTAGACACGGCTAATGGAACAAGAACAACATACCCCCATAGACTAAATAAAGGGTTCAGTTCAGAATCCACTATAGGCTACCCAGATTGACGTACAAATGATGAAGGCCAGTAGACATAATGGTCAAAACATTGTGATAACAACAACAAAAATGAAGACAATAGTTCACATATAGTGTAAATACTGATAACTCCTCATCTCAGAAAATGCAGACAGAAATAAAATGCTATAATTTATTTATGCCTAAAATTATTCTTAGCTTGTAAATAAATGGATAGTAATTTTTCAGTTGCACTATACTTAGAAAATATCATTTTTTTATGGCATGAGTAAATTTAGAATTAATAAAAAATTGCCTACATTTTTGATAAATTTTAATGAATTTTTAAGATTATTTTTTTATACATATCTTCATAGTTATAATTGCCAACCATCATATTTGTAAGAAGTTTTAATTGGCTAAAAGACATTTTTAGATTAAAAATAAATTGAAATTAATTTGTAGTGAGTAAATTTATTCCACTCAGTGGTAGAAATACACTGTCATAATTCAGTTAAAAATAATGAATATGTACTCATGCACTTAGCTTTGAATTTGGCTGAATCAATTAGTTGTAATGTTCATAATAAAATGAAAGTTTATGTCTAATTAATTGTTCTTAAGAGAAAAATGGTGATAAAAAAATGTTTACCACAATGTATAATGAAAAAAAAAAGATAATAAAATTTGCTTTAATCAAGATTTTATAACACACCAAAAATACACACCCAATACCCACAGATCAAATGGTGTCACCTCACCAAAAATATGTCCACACTTTGCTACTAGTAGATATGTATAATATCTGAGAGTAAACTCATTAACAGAAATTTCTGTTATTTTGTTATTCTAAAGTAGAGAAATGATTGAAATTCCTGTTATCTGCCATTAATGGGTTAATGCAACATTTTTCATAATGAATCTTGTAAAGATTTTAAAGATAAACAGGAAATGTTTGTGTTCATTCTATTTTTTCATTTCATTTTTATTTATTTTTTATCTTATATTCAATGCTAAATTTTAATTTTAAGAGTTTAAAATATCCTCCTTCCACAACAAGGTATACCGTATATATTCATGTATAAACCAACTTTATGTAGAGTGCAACCTCCTGAATTTATTGGCATGAATTTTAACCCCCTCCAGAAAAAATTTACTTGTGTATAGTGTAACCAGTCACCAAAAATGCTTGATTTTTAACCTCTTCAAACACTTTACCTGTGTATAGTGTGAGCCCCTAATTTTTGTGTAAAACCTGAAAAAACTTACACTTTACACAAGTATCTGCAGTAGCTCATATTGGGATATTATATAAGAAACATTAACTAACATGTCTCTTGTAAATGGATAACAATTCTTTTCCCTTGCTGTTTGTAATTGCAGAAGTCTACTCATATTAGTAAGAATTGAAAATTCTTCAAGAAATTCAAAGACTATTGGC